GTATAACAATTTTATGCAGACTCTGTCAAAACTCCAACCGAACTCTTCTTCCGATTCTCTTGACATGCATGAAATCTTTCACCTTAAATTGAAGTCTGCCTCTTCGATTGATATATCTATGTTTATACACAAACATGCTAAGCAAAAGTTTCTGTGAGCTTTAGTTTTTTCCCAAACTTTTTTAAAATCAAACAAATCAGTGCAGCAAAAGCTGGCTTTTGTGAACTATAGTTATGATCCAACAAAGTTCTCACTTCATGTTCTTCTTGCCGTTGTGAGCGTTTTGCATGAAATGGCAAGAAATAATTTAATGAATTCATCTCAGTCCTACTCCGCACTCTTTCAGTTCAATATATCTTTATATAAGCAATGGATTTAAAGAAAAACTGGAAAATTTTCAAAATTTCCTAGAAATTTAGAACAAATTTAGGGCAAAGGTTATTTGGGAACATGTGACTAATCCAAGCAATCGGATTATTGTTAAGAGCAGTTAAGCTTATAAGCCTTCATAATTTTTCTTTTCTCTTAAATTTACAAAGTTAGGAAGAAGTGCTCGATGCACTTGTCATATTGCATTTCCAAGTTATTCATGTGTTGCTTAGTAACCTTGCTGGCGAGATTGTAGAAAGCTCTTTTTTCCTCAGTTGGCTCTGATGTAATGCTTCAGTCAAATTCTGCACTCCTTAATATTTGCTTTTTCAGCTCTCGGAATAAGCTACCCTTCTATCCATTTTCCTGTTTGTGATTTCCATTTTTGTAGATGATCGCGCTAAAGTCCGCTCAGCGCCTTCCTCGGGGTTTAACTGTAGAATGGATGGATGGAATGCGAGCGCAATTCACAAATGTTTGGCTACGAGATAATAGCTTCCATATGCGACCAGCTCTAGTCCATCTTGACCTGAATCCATGCCCACAGGTAATCTGCTTTAAATATTATGCATTACATTTGAAATCAATAAAGAATATTTTCAGAAAGTTGTTCTCTCAAATAACTCTGTCTCTCTTGAATGGCCACCCTTTCTACGAGCGGAATTCCCTAGTGATTTTCTTCGATCGCACAGTACTGTGCAGCCAGGCACAAATCTCTGCAAAAACCCCAACAAGATGGTTTGTCTTTGCTTTTTGTAGATGGTTGTGCAAGTTTCTAGCAGAAGCGAGAGTTATGTCTGAAATTTCCAGATTTTAACGAAGCCGTGGCGAATTCAGCAGCGACCCTGCTCAGTTGATATGCGCCACATTGGAGCAATGGTCTGGAAAGAGCCATTAGTGATCAACGGTACCGTATGGCCACATCTTGAAAAGGTAATTATTTGAAAATCTTTAGAGCGCAAAGAACATGAGCTAAAACTTTACAAGTAAATAAAAAGGAGCTTTAAATAGTTTTTGAGATTAGCTGTACTCGAATAGCCGGAAAGCCTCTTCGCCTAAAAATAGTAAAGGGAATTGTACAAGGGGCATTGAAAATTACTGAAACGGAAAATTTCATGCTCCATCTAGGAGGTGACTTCAAATTCGCAGTGATGAAGAAAAACAGAATGATGCTAGTCACGGCGTTATCACTGTGGGGTGTTCGTTTAGAAAGCTAATGAAGACCTCATAACTTCAGATCGTGGTTCAAACCTTGCTATCCTAGCTGTGGATCGTGCTCGTTAAACCACCAACAACTTCCAGATTCCTTCGGTGGTTACGGTAGAAACTCGACACAATGGTGCACGCATCAGTCTCGTCGACTCGATCACAGCTTTAAAGCGATTGGCGGAAGAACATCCACAGTACTTCCGATTCATGATCGAAAATCCTATTGAGTACCAGCATGCTTTCTTCAAAGCATCTCACAAGCTGGCTAACATTGATGGAAATTTTATTGTTTCGGTAAGGAAGTTTTTTTCCTTTGGCAGGAAAATTTTTTAAGAAACTGGTTTTTTAAGGGTGTATTCAACAACGATTATCGATCTAGTCAGATGACAACGGAGAACCTGGATTTATTCTATCGAAGTCTGAAATCTTTCTATAACATTTGTTGCGAGGAACAGCAAGAAGTCTACATAAATTCGGACGAATTGTTGGTTGTCGATAACTCACAGATGCTTATCGGAGCTCCGGCGCAATGTGGGCGAGAGATGAGAGTTCGCGTTTTTGCCTGAATCCCACACCCGCTATTATCCCCAATCTGTCCCAAGTCGTAGCTGGACAATAAACGGCCTCAGCTGCTCTTCACTTCCATTCTATCCCCCTAAATTGGCAAAGTTTTAAGAAGGAAGTTGAATGAAGTCATCCTGTTGTAATTAGCTTAAAAGAGTTGTACTTTGAATGTTTTATTATGCCCAACGACTCAATAATTGTTATCACCCAATGCTCAAAGAACTGGTCTTATAATCTACGAATTATCAACGAGTTTTATTCACTCAGGAATTTATCATTTTTTTCTAATCAATGGCATTGTTATTTTCGTTTTGTGGATAAGCTTTTTTTCTTCCAACTAGCTGCGCTTATAACTTTATGAGATTGTAAATATCTAGCACATCGTTGCCCTGTAGCAGATACGCTCCTGCCCATTTTCATTTATTTTGGTCGATGTAATCGTGTCATATTAAATTGTGAGCAATTCATCCATGTAAATAAAATTATTGTTTTTAAAAACTGGCCAAAAGTGTAAAATATGGACTGGATATCACTGGGCAAGAAGTAACAGCAGAGGAGGTCGTCCTTCTTTCAAAGAACTATAACGGAATTGAGAAATTTGTGATGACTTCTACCAAAAACAAGTTGACCTTCAGAATTAGTTGAGTTTATCTCAAATAAGCACTCTTCAAGAAAATTGTTATCTAATCAAAAAACCCGAACACGCCATATTTACGTTGGACACATTTTCTTAAAATATCTTCCTTGTTATCTAAATTCAACAAAAAGTTTTTATTAATAGGGGTACCGGTTAATTCGTGCGGTTTTCTAACAGATGGCGTAACTTGTTTTATATTCCAGTG